TACAAATGCAAATGTCAGGAAGAAGTAAGTATGTCCTTATTTTCTCCTCGGTGGTGCTTATTAAACTTGAAAAATTTCATATCGCTCTGGCAATTAATTTGCTGATGACTTTTCGCCAGTCCTACGGGCAAAAGTCGCGCCAAATACACTAAATTGGTTTATGCTCGTGTTGTGGCTGCTGTTAGTAGCAACTCAAACGATAATTATGCCATATTAAGCTATCATCTTATTACTATGTACTTAATGTAGTAAAAGTGTCCAATTAACATTGCTTGAGTGAGTACTTGTCATAAATTGTACCGTTCTTAGCATTTAAGTTATATTTTTTGTCTTATTTAACTTTATTATTGAATATACATTAAAACATATTAAATTATTTTTATTGCTTTTTTGCATTCTTCCCCCCGCCCCCCTTTGTTAACCTACCTCTCACATAACTCCTCTATCCTCCCCATCTTTTCTATCTATTTATGCATTTGCTTTCTTCAACATTCCAACGTCCCTTTTATTCTTTTACTCTCGATACTGTTTACTTTCACGATGCCAGGTAAGACAAAGTTTAAATATGAAGCGATTCTTGATACGCCCAGTGAGTAGGGCAAATCTAACTAGTACTACTACTCCCGAAGTGGCGTAATAAGAAAGTGGTTATTTTGAGGTAATTACAGTCATCACGAAAGTTTTTGAAGGACGGAGACATTCGGGAGTCAATTTTGTCACATAGTTTTGCAATATCCCAGCAGAAACATAGACACAATTACGCAGCGCTACCAGCCACACCTCTTCTTATGTATGTATGTATGTATGTATGTATGTATGTATGTATGTATGTGCGAGTCAGGCGAGCGTGTTAATATTCAGAAAGAGAGAAGAAAGTCTTCAAGGAGACTTTGCCTAATATTTGCATAATTTTTCGTCATCGGGATCGCACCTTACCTGTAAAAATAAAGTTTGAAATTCACATCAGAGAAATTTAGATGAAGAAAACTCATTGAGTAAAGACGCACATGCTAGCAATAGCCTCCCGGTTTCATGCACATACACACAGACAACGTCACTCCCACGACGACTTTTCGAATGCCAAGAAAAATAGGTCTGGCTCTGGTTCTCTGTGCTATATTGTGTATGCGTCTTATGCAGTTGAGCATCGTAACCCCCGTGGTCGACGTAGTTGTTGTTGGGGAGTCTGCATTACGTGACATTTACTCAGTTTAGCATTTGGATTATCCGTAGATATCCGCGTGGAGTGCCGTCTAATTTATTATTTTTTCAATGCCAAAGAAGAAATAACGATCCAGCAATTCCAGGCATCCGATAACGTTACTACCTCTCTAGCGATAATATCGCAGACCAGGAATAGCTTTACCAAGAAAAGTAATCTGCAAGTAGACGATTTCCGCTACTCTCTATAGTTTCTCCAAAGTGAGTTCCAGTTGTCGGGAAACTTATCGTTATTGAAGTCTATGAAATCCACAAAATTTTTGTCATGCAAGCATATAAATGAAGGCCGGAGATCACACGCTCTATGCTTATCTGCCTAACACGTAGCATGTATCTGTTAAGCATATAACACTTGTCTATTCACCTATCACCTATCACCTATCACCTATCTATTTATTATGTGTTTCTCTTTGATGTACCTCTCTCTGATGCATATCTCTTAATACAGTCATTCAAACAACGACTTTTCAAATTAATGCGTTACACGAAAAATGTTCGAAAAACTACTCTGATTCAAATCGTTTCCAATAGCGTTGATTCTTGGGCCAAAACATGCCGGTGTACCAAATTTGATTGCAATATTTCAAGTATTGCATCCTGTAAGTTGCACACAAAAATGCAAGGAGAACAGATGTTCAAATTAGCAGACGGGTAGACAAGATTCAGCAAAAAAATGATTCTGATTCGATCTGTTTAATCAAAAATCGATCTATCTCAACTTCTTCTGGGTGCTGTATACGTCCGCACAAACTTAATATACCCTTGTATTACAAATGGTGTAGGGCAGGGGTGGGCAACGTTTTTCATAAACGGGCCAATTCTATTTTTCATGTCATCCGCCTGAGTAGCCGAAGGGGAGGAATCTCGACTAGCAAGTCAAAGGTCGTGGGTTCGAATCTCAAGTGCGGTAGAGTTTTTAATAAAAAGCCGATAGCCTTAGATGCTAGTGCTTTTAAGAGTTTAGTCTTAGAATTTATTTCTCTGGCGACATTAATAATAATAATAATAATATTTTTCATGTCATGGCAGAAGCCAGAACAAGGTCCAGCTTTATTAAACATGTGACATTCTATGTCAATTTCTCAATTTCTTCCTTCCTAAATAACTAACTTTATGGCTTAATGAACAAAAAACACGATTAAACATTTAGTAGCTGCATCGTTGAGTCGCTGGCGTGGTCAGATACAAACCCTTCGCAGCATCGCTATGTGTAAGCAAATTGAATTCCTTGAAATTTTAAACGTAGCGGGCCTGACCTGATGACATCACGGACCGACGGTTTTCCATCCCTTGCAAATTTTATGAATACATTTCTAATTAGTCTTGGATCAATGTAGCACACATTGATCGATTGATTGAACAGATAGTGGATTATTGGAAAAACAAATATTTCAATGTTGTTTTTTTATACATTTTTTTTTGCTATTGCGCAGCTTATCACAAACAGACGAGCTTACAGTTACGTATAAATAGAATTGGATATCTTCAACCATTTGCGCGTCAAATGTAACTTTTAGTCGATAAAAAGGAAAGGAATAAAAGTTTAGTAACTTTGGAAGATTAGACGCTGTCAAGGGCATTGATCGGTATTTTGTGTAACGATAAGACTTATTAAATGTTGACATAACCGTCACCATAGCGAGCCTTAGGGCGGAAGTTGTCCGGCTTGCGTCATCGATTCAAATCGCTTAGGCTTCTTTTTTCCATTTTTTTCCCCCTTTACCAGGTAAGTACAGGAGATCGTTTATGATTATTCGATGCAAGTTTTTCATAAATAATAAAATAAATATTAATTATTTGTGAAACCAAAGATTTGCTTACAACTTCGAAAAAGAATGTTACAGAATATTGCACAAGTAAACACCTTTAGGTTAGGATGAATGAAAACCATCTACTAAAAATATTGGAAAAAGTTTTGTAAAATAACTGGCGTCGTTACTCCCCTACATCAATTTACAACAGTTAAGCGAAATCGTTTCGTTAATTCAGATAAGTGCTATCAGCATGGTCCAAAACATCTGGACTTATTAGAAAAGTTCCGCTCGAATGAAGACGCTTACATAATTATAATACAATTTACACTATCTGTATCGCACACGCACGCAGTTTGTATGATTATGGCGAATAAATTAAGATGCTATACTTCCTTTTATTATACCAATCGATTTTGGAACTTGCCTATCTGTCTACTTGCCTATCTAATGTCTGTTCATGCATTTTCCTGTCCACGCGATAATTTTCGTCATTTTCACAATATTTTACTGAAATCTAGTGTAATGACACGGTTTGGTTTCCAAATCAGATTGGATTAGATTGATTTTTACAACTACTGTCCATATAAACATCTATTCAGAAAGAGTCATATCGAAGTGACGTTGATCGTTTAATGCGTTAATAAACATTGCAGTGGGAAATGGCGACAATTAAGTAACCTACACGACTAATGGTCGCCATACAATACCAAAAATTAGACCTGATTGTCATAAAAACCTGATTGTTCGAAAACTAGACCAGTTAGATCTGAATTTAGCGCAGTACATTTGTGTGTGAATACATTATTCTGAGCTAAATTTCATCATAAAATATTGAAAGTCGGCACAAAGAATAAAAGCACACAGGATCTATCGGATAGACTATATCGATTGAAGCCGATTTTTCAATTTTAATGAAGAAAGAATTAAAATAAAATATGCGGTTAAAAGTTGAACAGAAAAAAGACAAAGGATGTATGTATATTCCTTACCTAGACTACGCGTAGACCTTCATTCTCATTTTCATATGAACGTTTTCACAACGTTTACATAAATTGTGCTTTATTTATATAATAGCTTTATTACACATTTAAAATACTTTATTAATATATATAAAAATATATATAAAAAAATTGTTATTCTTTTTAATGGTTTCCTGATTGTTTCCGACTCATTTTTCCTTGACTTGGTCGCTTTTGCTCTTCTATCATCATCTCCAGATGTATATATAGTGTTTTGGAAAATACGCGAACTTATTTAATTTTACAAGTTATCAACTCAATGTCGTGGGTTCAAATCTCAAGTGCGGTAGAATTTTTGTTTTGGTAGCGCTTTAAGAGAAAAAAATGTATTCTCTGGCTAACTTTATAATAATAACAATAATAATAATAATTTTACAAGTTAGCTTAGAATTAAACCGTGATAATTTTTAAACAAAGTCCTCGCTAAATTCCCTGTTGAAAGGCAAAGCATAGAGTCGCTTATAATAAATAAATGGTTAAAAGCCCAACTTAACAACTTAAATGGCAACGCCAATCAGCTACGTTAAATGCCCAACTTTACCGACAAAAAGGGTTCAATTCTGTGAAATAACAGACCAAAAAAGCACAAGCCTTCGGCAAAACATAGATTTTTAAATGCAAAGCAATATTGATAAATTGTCAAAATTGGATCACTAGTCTTTCTTTAAAAATCGTTTTTCGCCGATTCTAGTTCCTTACGCTACAACGTTTTTAATTAAACGTAACATTATAAACAAATAACATAAGGGTATAAATTAAACAATCGTTTCAATGGCATCAAAAACAATGATTCACAGTATATATTAAAGTTCCTTGATACATTCTACATTAAATATTTTGTATAATAATAATAATAAACTAGAAAGAATATAATTTTACCGTTTTACATATATCTTTTAATGGTTACTTTTCATATATTTAAAATATACGCAACCGGTTACTATTGATTCACACCAATTACCTAATTAGTTTTCCCAAAACTAACACACATGGATTATTATTTTATGTTTACGTAAATTTCTTGCTGCCGGTTGTAGGAAAATTTGTGTTAGAATTTAGAAAAATATATTAAGAAAAAAAAAGAGGTATGAATCAAGCAGATGTAAGCAAATTAATGTCGCAATTGCGAATTTCAATACAAGCAAAGAAGCGTAATTTAAAAAATCCGAAAGGACCAGAAGGCAGATTGCTGAAGCTACGCAAAACGGTCACAGCTCTTCTTAAACATGAACGTATAGAATTGTACTATAATCGAGCAGATGAAGCTCGAGGATACGCTGAATTGGTAAATATAGAAATATTTTGAGGCATCTTGTATGTGCGGTCACACTCAATATGTTTATTGTTGCAGTTAATTTCTAATGCTATCCGTTATGGGGATCGTCACATAGCTACCATGGAATTAGCAGATTTTTGGTTGTTAGAAAAGCAATTAGTCCATAAGTTATTTAAAGTGTTGGTGCCGCGTTTTGAGAATATGAGTGTATCCTATACCCGCATGTATAAAGCACCAAGAGATTACCCGGGAATGTACTACAAGAAATCTGTACTGGAATTGAGAGGCAATCCTTACCCGTCATTAATACCGGATTACTCTCACAACCGTACTTTTTTACATAATATACTCTTGGACGAAGCCCGTAAGGATTATAAACGTGAAAAATTCGCCGAAATAGCCAATAAACTTAAAGCGCAAAGTGCCGACGATACAAGTAAAGGGTCAGAAACTAAATCTCAGACACAAGAGACTACATAAGGTTTATATAAAATAATAAATTAAATCATTAATCATTTTTTAACTAATAAAGATCGCTAAAAGTAATTTGCTTAATTTGTTTTTTTGTTTTTTAAGTCATATGGAATATTATTCATTACTGGCAATGCCTTAGATATCAGCTGCCTGTGCTTTAAAAATATTTGTTAAGGTAATGAAAGTAATAATGATAACTGGTGGAAAATCTTCGTAGCCTTTGTTTATTCCTTTGGTAATTTCATTCACTTAAAATAAATAAAAAAGTTTTCTTTTAATAGTTTTGCGAAATGAACGTAGAGGACGATTCGGAAAGTATGGGTGAAAATGTATTTTACTTCGAGAGTGACCATCTGGCTTTAAGAGGGAATCGCGATTATACAAATATGCTACGCACCATATCAATGCTAGAGGCTCAAAAAGTTCGAGTACATCAGCAAATCGAAGAACTCGGTCTGACCAAAGCGCGGTACCTGGACGACCCGGAATTATTTTTGAACAAACTAAAAAGAGGAGAAGAAATTATAGCGCCAAATTATATGACTATAGTCAAGGTAAGTTCTTAATATTTGTGTGGTAAAATTTCTAAGTTCATTTTAATTATTGATCGCTGCATAAGTTACCTGAAATTGGTAATTATAAAAATTCTGCATCCCAAGAAGTAAAGACAAATCCAGAACCTAATGCAGAATCAGATAATGTAAAAAGTGTGCCATATATGATTAACGAGACAGTTAAACCAGAAACTCGTTTATGGACAGTAGAGGAGCAGAAACGCTTAGAAGAATTGCTTATAAAATATCCCGAAGAACGCATTGAAATGCACCGCTTTAACAAAATCGCCAAGGAATTGGGTAACCGCACTGCTTTGCAGGTTTGTAGCCGCGTACAAAAATATTTTCAAAAACTTTGCAGTGCTGGTATGCCCGTACCTGGACGTATACCCAAAAATCGTAGATGCATTCAAACAAAAGTAAAGCAGCACTACAGGCCATCAACATTCTTCCCCTCGCATAATGTGCCGGTGCATATCCCAGAAGATGATCATGCTTTCGACGATTTAATGAATTCTAATGCAAATAAGCCATCAGAACTAAAATTTAAACCCAGAGCGGGATTATCTGATGTTTTCGATAATGATGTTAAAAGCGAGTTGGTCACAGAGGAACAGCAACAACAAATTCTAAGTATGCTGAATGTGATTAAGCAAGAAAAGCAAACAACGAACGAAGGTTATAATCCTGATCCTTTGGCGTCAAAATGTGAATCATGCAGACTGGCTTCAGTTTCCCGTATTCGCTGGCACTGTAACACGTGCTATTGCTACCTAAACGTTTGCTCGGATTGCTTAATTTGCCAGTTAATTGAGCAGAAATTCGAACATTTATTACATGATGTTGTAACTGCGAGTGAACCTTGATAAATAAACTTGTAGCGTACGCTTTTACCATAATTAATTTTGATATTAAAGATAATAAAATGTACAAATTATGCAAGAATTTTAATTGCCAATTTTTGAATCATTGCTTTAATTCTCTCCAGCATTCTCGCAACGCCTTTATTTTTTAATGTTACAAATTATTATAATTCAAATTATACAAAGTCGTTAACTCAACAATGACGAAAGGTATAGGATTAATACCTTTCTCGCACAGTAATATTTGAAGACGTAAGAAATTCTACAATATATATATATACATCCTAGATCAACTTTGCTGGAATTCTTAATTACAAAAATTTGTATTGGAAGTTATGAACTTGGGACATTTTTTTAGACCTATTCCACAGGCTACGTACGACAATAAGCACGAAGTCTTCCCAATAGTTAAAACACAAAAGCTATAAAAATTTTAGGGTAATTATCCACTTTTAAAAACTTTTCTACTTACTAGAGAAAACAATACGAAATTTAGTGTTCGAACTTGCCTTCAATCAGAGTAAGTTCAGTTTTCTAATTTTCTTAAAACTCTTTGGTTGTTTATTGTTTACGGATGCTTGCTAATGCAACGCTATACAATCACCTATGTAGTACATTGTCGTTTGAATTAGTCTTCAAAACATTTTCTCCATTACGAGGAGGTTTAGTGTTTATTCGAACTTGCCGAGCCGTAGGCAACTGCGACCCTTGCCTCTATTTGCATTGAAGGCCTGCACATCGCTGGTAACTTTACCAAACATGCATTTTGATTGAATAATTATGTCGCAAAAAATGCAATAATGCAATGTGAATTCATTTGTTTTCTATTTTCAAAATTTATGTAATAGTAAAAAGTAATTTATTTAATTTTTTTGTGAGAAAAAAAATTATTGTCGCTCTTGAGGTTACGGGCATTAAAGTAGGAAGTCTGTGCTTTTTATACATTCAAGAAATTTTAGTTATTTGGTATTCTTGGAAGGCTATCCTTTTGAGCACATTAGCGCGAGAGCACATTAGCGCGTTATCTCAGTGCAGCATAATGAATGACATACTGGATGATTGTGACCCCATAAAAATAACTGAATGGGATCCGGCAATAAGCTAAACTTTAACGCAACTAAAATACAATGTTGTCTCCTAACGCATAGGAATAATCCCTTGCATTTGGTGCTGTTAATGCAGAAGAATCTGCAACTTGATGTTTTAAATGAAAGAATGAAAACCGGCGTTGGTTGGACAGGACATGTATTCAAAGTATCGAAAGACGCAGTTGACAGCCTTGGTTCTTTAAAGCGAGGCAAAAAGTACTTTATTGCAGTCGATATCAGTGCAATTTCCACCGCCTGTATTCGGCCAAAACTAGAGTACAAATCGCATGTGTGCGTGGGAGCCTCCAAATTTTGATTAGAGAACTCAATCGCATACAGCGGAAGGCTTAAATGCTCAAAGGCGAGAATGTCTAAAATTCTCGAAATTCATTTCTCTTTTCCTTCCTGATCAGCGTTGCGCCCCCATGTATAAGAGACATTTGCTTTTGTGTGGCTACCCATATTAGAAAGAGGGCATCTATTAACAATTTGCACTAAGGATAATATTCCGATTACTTGCGATTACAAAATGAAGGCACTCGTTTTTTTTACCTTGAAACCGTTAAATCTGTTTAAGGAAAGCAAGCAAGTCAGAGCTGCGTTTTCGAATCAGGGTAGTCGTCCCTATAGACACTTACCATTGCCGATTAGAATTCGAAATGACTTTATTAGGACCATCTACTAGTAGATCTTTGGCGAAATTTTAGCAAGATAGTTCTATGTTGTAGCTTCTTCTTGATGTTTGTAGTGAGGCAGTGCAATTGAAACGGTTGCATGGAAGTAGGATCCGGTAGCATATTTACCAAATTACGTAAGGCCCTGGATTGAAGAATCCACAATGGTATATGTCCCCATAACACTAAATGGTTTAGCAGGGTGACAATTTTCACGTACAATTAATGCTTTCATACGTTTTCGAAGTTGCCATTAAAAAAATAAATGTTACGAGTTATTCAATACGTTATTGAATATTGAATATTAAATACTTGCCAATCCACTATAAACCATTCTGTTTGTCTGTCTATTTGAAAGTCTTCGTAGCTAAATTAACCTCTTTTTTTAATTCGTTTACAAAGGCAGGCATTTCAAGCGATATTGAGAGGCAATCTTTACCCGCCACTAATACCGGATCACTCTACATTCGTAGCTTTTTACATAATATACTGTTGGACGAAGCCCGTAAGGATTACAAACGTGAAAATTTCGCCGAAATAGCCAACAAACTTAAAACGCAAAGTGCCGACGATACAAGTAAAGGGTCAGAAGCTAAAACTCAGATATAAGGGACTACATAAAATGATATTTTTTCTAGGCGGGCACTAATTTCATGTTGGTAAACAGTTACTGGCAACGTTACTGTAACAATGTTGTAAGAATAGCAACAGAAGTCCACCAAGATAAATCGGTCAACTCATGCATATGAACCAAACTTTGTTGCACATACGGCACAAGTGTGCTATATGAGACTGTTTGCTAAATATTGGTTATGAATTCGATGAAATGCTACTGATGTCCCTTGGAATTAAAACGTACCATTGTCCTATTGCAATGGACGGGTATTAATAATGGTAAAAAAACAAAAACGAAAATTTAAAAATCTTTACACGAAAGGGAAAAAGTATATATATACATCAAGTATGACAACCTTATTGTAATTGATTTTAGAATGCAAAGCCAAGTGAAATGACGGCAGCAATCAATTGGAGTAAACTTCCATTAAGGATATATATATATATTTTTTTTTGGTATATTGAACAGAGATGGACTAAGCCAATAGATTTGTGGCTTATATGTCCAAATAATAAACTGTTGTAATTTTTAGTCACGATTATGTATAAACCGTAACAAAAAAATAAGAGCAGCCGTAATAACTGGAGTGAGCATGTTACATGTAATTGGGTATGTGTGTGTGTAAGTGTGCTTGTTGAGTTCTTGCAAGTCAGACAGTGTTGCAAACTTTGGCTGAAAACGAAAAGGAATGTCATGGAAATTGAAAATGATTGAACGCAAAAAAAAAGAAAAAACAAAAAAAAAAGGAAAGAGGAGGAAAAACAAAAATTCTAAAAGGATAAATTGGCTTTTCTAATAAAGCAAGTTAGTTCCCCGAGATGACGTACATTTTTTGCTGCAAAGAGATCGAGGAGACAGCCATATAACTTGAAGAAGCTAAAGGAATCTCTAATGCCATCAAGCCTGTGACATCTGAAGATTAGATGCTCAGCAGAGTCAACAACATTGCAAACTTTACAAACATCACATGGTATAGCGCGAATCATTTTTAAATAAACTTTGTCATAAGTGTGACTACTCATGAGTCTATAAAGAATTTTGATTTCCCAGGAATTAAAAAAAGAAACAGAGAAGGGTTTGAATTGAAATGTGGAGTTAAGGATATATATAATACATTTTTTCGAATAACTAACCACATGCAAATCGAATATTTTCATTCAATTTTAGAATACTACTCCACACTTCCTGTCAAATAAATGATATGTCGCCGGTTACACTGACCGAATCGTGAATTAAATAAAAGGGAATTGTTTATAGTAATAACATTCGAATAATCATTCAGCTCATTAACTGACTCGTTGTACTTTTTGTATTTACGAAAAACAGAGAAGTATTATATTACATAAATATAGATTTTCCGTTGGCTGGTAATACCTTAAATCCTAAAGGAATCCTATTAACAATATTTGACTTTCATGGAAGCATATAATATATATAATTTCAATTTTTTTTTTCCATTTTTTTAAAAAGTTGATAGATTTCACATGAACGTAAGTAATGCTTGCACCCAATGGCGAACACCACATAATTTGCAATTTCATTTTATAATAATTCTGTTTTTTATTTTTTGGTTTTATCAGGGCAATATCGTAAGTTTAAAAAAAATAAGAACACCAATCCCAGTTTCAATTTTCAAATGAAAAGGGCACAATACACATTCAATTCAATTATAATCAACCGATTTACAAATTCCAAGAGCCGATAGCCTGTGTTGCTAGTGCTCAATGTCCTTTTTTTTAGTCTAAGAATTCATTTCATTAGTCTAAAATTAAAATAATAATAATAATAATAATACAAATTCCAAGTATTTTTTTAAGTAAGTAATGGCGATTACATACGGGACTCTTTTATAATATTTCATCATGCATATGTATTTACGTTTACTTTTTTCGATTGTTTCTTGAAATGTATGCCAATTTTTTTTTTTTTGGAAGGGAAATTTTGTCTTTTTTCACTTATTATTTCAGGTTTTTTTCTTTTTTTTGGAAGAGAAATTTCGTTTGCATTTTTTTACTATATAGTTTTTCTTTGTAGTTAAAAATCGTTGGGAGGTTTTCTTTTCTTCACATGCGAAAAATATCATATGTTGAGAACAGATATGTCTTCAAAATACGGCGACACCATTTGCTCGCGTAAAACTTTTGTCATGAAGTGAAGAAGAATAAAATTATTCATATGTTGTGAAGTTTTTGCTAAAACTAAATTAAAACTATTAAAAGTGGAATGAAATCTGTTAAAACTAGAACCAAAATTGTTATTACATAGCCAGTGTCCAATATGCACAACATTTTAAAGATTAAGAGATCAAACGCTCTAAATTGAAAATTAAAAACATCTGTCGACGCTCGGATAAATTGATTAAAAATCTGAAAATGTACAATTTTTGATATTGAGAATTACAGGTTCGCTCCATTGGCTTGCTGTTGATTGCTTAGAGGCGTAACTAGAGAAAAAACTATGCTCTGAGACGAATTAGATAGACCCGTAAAGGTTACAGATGCATTGTCAGAGAGTGTTTGAAAATGGTATGCTATATTAACGTTAATACTCTCCTTCTCTCTCGGATTACTCTTATTGCAACAATTTCTCTTTACTCTCGACGAATTATAAACGCACGCACACTAGCCGACCGCATGTGTACATGTATGAAATGGAGATGGCATAAGTGAATTATTTCCTTTATAATAAAAAATTTTCTCTTATAGGTGCT